ACAGTTTGCATTTCATTAAATCGTTTCTAGAGTCATTACTCATTATATTCAGTGGTTATCAACTCATGTAAAACCAAGTGGTCTTAGGATATCGAGGAACAAGTAACTTGACTATCGCTATTCAAATTATTTGTTCCCTTGTAGCCTGCGAACAGGCTCCCGGTTGAGTTAATGGGTTTAGTGCGAGCTAGCCAAGTGTGTTCCAGGGCGAGCGGGGAGAGCCGAGAGCGGAATGGTGACGAGGGGGAGCGCAATTCGAGAAATTACTTTTTTCGCGCTTAACGGTTTGCTTTGCTCGCCGGATTTTTTTTTCCCGCCCCCGCCGGATATTTTTCCCCCTTCGCTGGGAACCTGTTCGCAGCTTAGTTCACCTACCGTGCGTTCAGCCGTTCGAACGGATACCGTAAGGAACGTTTTCGCATGAGAGGTCACATGTTTGCCGATGCATTTTTGTGGTTGTTCTTCTTTTAACGACGCTTTTAGGGTCGAGAAAGTAAAATTGGCGATGTGCTGACATCTTTTTATGTGACGCGTGATTCGTGACAAAAATTATCCGTGATGCGTGATCATGATTTAATAGAAAAATTCAGCTTGATGCGTGATTGGTACCCTACCTTTGCCACGCTCTAGATTATTTCTAACAACTTTATAGAAAAGAGAATTGAGTACAAAGTTTGATTCAACTGTATTTTACAGGCTAAAAATTAATTTTTCACAGCTTGGATTTTTTTTTTAATTGTCTGCGATCTGTAGAACGTCAAAAGAGGATTTACGGTAAAATGGTTGATCTTCGCTATAATCCACTCCTCTGTCCACTCCTCTCAAGTTATTTTTAGATAGGGTATTCAAATCTCGCGTGGATAATTTTACCACGCGAGTTGCATGCATGTTTTCGTGGATGATCAAAACGCGTCTGAAGAGGCTATTTCCGAGGTCTCTTTTGCCTCTGTTTCAAAACGAGTCTTCATGCGAAACCATTCATATGAAAATGTGCTCCGCCTACAGGCTCATTTTCATGCAAAGTTTCGCACGAAGACTCGTTTTGAAACAGAGGCACAAGGTAACTCGGAAATGACCTATTCTCTTCGGGTAATCCACGTGAATAGCATTCGCGTCACATGATTGGCTATTTCTAGACCCACATCCCCCCACCTTTGGAATTTCTGAAGCGAGTGACCTAAAAATAACTTGAGATTACTTTAGGAATAAGGCCTAAATGAAGGATAAACTCACTTACTCTTCATCTTCTCTTGAGAACGACAGGAACGAAAACGTGATAAAGCGTTTTACATCACCCGAGAGCATTAAAAGTTGCTGCCTGCTAAATAATCTTGTTAAGGTTTAAAACAGACTCACGAAATTGATTCAAGTTTCTTTCCACATTGGTTATGGCGCGCAAACTAATTATATTGAGTAAATATGATTGTAATCAGTCTTCGATAGCACTTAGGCTGTGTCGGGTGAGAGGATCAACAGCTCTGGGAGCGATGCCTTTTCTAAGCTGCTCAATTTATCCCGTCAATATTCGTCTGGGTGCACGTTTGCCAATAAAACCGAGCAAGTCTTAGAACGAATCCTTCGGTCCAAGTATTCTATGTACAAGCAAAGTTATTATGCACAAGCAGATCATCTACTTTGGCCGCGGGACTTGAAGGAAGTTTTTCTTTGCTTTGACTTCTGGTTTTAAACCTTCGTCATCGGACGACGCAACGGAGCTCTGAGACAAGGATCTGGACGAGCTTGGTGGGTCACGTCGAAAAAGATCTCCAATCGGAAGAACTTCAGACTTGTCATCACTCACGGGAAGGGAATTTCCATCTGATTCTTTCTTTTCTTCTGTTTGACGATCCTCATCCTCGAGGTTTAAGAAAGACAACTCTTGAACCAACTCTTGTACCATGTTTTCGTTATGCTGGTCGTCATTTGAGCACCGAAGGTGTTTGATAGACTTTTCAGTGTCAACGCACTCATCGCGTCTATTCTGCGACGTATCTGGAAGCGTTATCATCGGTGAAGCAGCTGACCAGGCGGGGCGGGAGGAATTTGGTTGCGTCATGGTCTCAGGAGCAATTCCGAGACTTCCAACAGAGCTCCTGACGTCATCACGTGAACTCTCGAGATTATCACGTGAACTACGGAGCTCATCACGTGAGCTGTCCAAGCTATCCCGTGAACTATCCAAGTTATTACGTGATGCGTCAAGACCATCACGTGAGCTGTCAATGCTCAAAAATGATCCCAGATTCCTGACTTTGTTGACAATAAGGGCACTTTTGGTACTGGTAATTGACTGGCGACTCGCCGTTGCGTTGGGTGAAGAAGAGCTTGGTTCCAAGTCATCTTCCTCTCTACCGTTAGCATGGCGCTCGTTAGAAGCGCCATCGACGGTATCGTTTACCTCAGAAGGTGCCACTTTCACCGGAGGCCCACCTTTGGAAAAGTACTTCACCAATATGCCAAACAAGGCGAACGAAAAGAGGGATGGAATAAACGCTGTGCCTTTAACACTCAGAGGAACTCCAAAATATCGAGAGTTCATTTTTTGATCTTCTAAGCCGTAAGTTTCATTGGTCAGAGGATTCACGTGCGACCATCGCCATGCGTAACTTAACGTTTCCTCGGTAGCATTGGCCAGGAAATCTCTATCAGCGACCGTGTAAATGTAATCTTGATCGTCGGTGTATTGACCGTAGGTAAAAGGTTCGTAGAAGATCTGATTTTTCCACATGTTCAGGTCAAGAATCATAACAATGAAGATGATCCCGTAGTTGAACCATTTCCCGGAGATGCGGATATCTCCCCCGGGAATATGGAAATGAAAGTTCCCTGTATTCAGACCCGGGAGTTTTATGTCCATCCCTCCGTCAAAGTAAGGGAAGTCCCAGTCCTGAGACAGGATAAAAGTAATAAAAATAAATTAGGTAAAGTCTGCATGCGAGCCAAGTGGCCCATCAGGCCAGAGCTTATCCCAGTTTCTGTAGC